TGTGTGTGTGTGTGTGTGTGTGTGTGTGTGTGTGTGTGTGTGTGTGTTGTTTTTACCAACTCTGTTAACTCTGTTCAACATGGCCACAATATTCTCAACCAAGCTGCATATTTTGGTGGATAACATTCATGAGGTTGCCAATTCAARCCCCCATTCCAGCCGTCTCATTTGTTGTGTCCTTGGGCGAGACACTTCACCCACCTTGCCTACTGATGGTGGTCAGATGGTCCGGTGGCACCGATGCATGGCAGCCTCGCCTCTGTCAGTGTGCTCCAGGGCAGCTGTGGCTACAGTGTAGCTTACCACCATCAGTGTGAATGTGTGTGAATGGGTGAATATCAAAATATAAAGCGCTTTGGGGTCCTGAGGGACTTGATAAAGCGCTTTATAAGTTCAGTCCATTTCCCATTTACTATAGCTGGTACTCTTAATAACGTACAACACCACTGCATTCTTTCAAAAACACTTTATTCGCCTTCTATAAATATAACAATGCAGAACAAGGTTGTTCCATTTAACAAACCTTCAGATAGAAAACAGTCCGCAAAGGTCTACAAAGCTTTAACAAAGAGAACACCTTGGCAATAAGGCACAAATGTGGAAGAGTTTAAATGGTAACACCTTTTTTTTAGGGCTCCGCTCCATCAACACAAAGTGTTCATCTTCTGCTGCCATGTTGTGCTGAAATGCAGGTAAAGGAATGCAAAGCAGAGTGAAAGGCACAAAGATGGAGCTTTCTGCATTTTTTTAWATTTTTTTACATGTTAAAAGTTCAACAGCAGTTAAACCATTGTTGACAAAACTGAGACGGAGCGTGGTGATACCTCAGCCAGCTTAAACTCCCCCTGAAACTGCAAAAATGTAGCTGAACGCGAGGGTTCAGTGTGTTCCCATTCATAACACCAAGTACATTTTGTTACAGATAACAAAATAATAAATGTTAAAGGCTAAAAACTACTGAACACTTTGGCAAAAAGGAGACAAAAATAAAAAGGCTAAAAACAAACTTTTTTCTACATTTGTTACTTTGACTTTTATCCCTAAATATGCAAATAAAAATGACTGTTTTGAATATATTATACCTTTTCTTTGCACTTCATACACAACAAATTTAATGCATATATTAAATATATATCCGGTCTTCTGTCATCATAATAAAAGAAGTTAACAGCAGTTAGCTCTCTACATAAATTCCAGTTATATTTGTGAGAAAATGCACAACAGTGAGAGAGAAACTCAAACTAAATGGGTTGTTATGCTTTTCATTTCTCAGAGCAATAACTTACTATTTTATCTTTCTCATCATTGCATGTGGTCAAAAAATAGCAAGTTTGTTTACTAGATGACAACAAAAAAATTAAAAAACGGTATAATTTGAAACGTGTTTGTTAAAAATAAAAATGTTTTCTCTTTGTTTTTATTTGTTGATGAGAGAGGCTTTCCGATCAGCAGCAGCTTGAAGGAATTTAAAGTGACAGCTTGGAGATTTGAAGTGGGGTTGTGTGGAGTTGTTATGGCTAATCAGTGTCTCACCTGTTGCAGAAAGTGCTCAGAACATTTTCAATTTGGAAAACAAGGCAGAAATTCAATCACACTGAGGCCAATTCCAAGGTGGATTGTTGTTGTAAAAAAAAACGTAGTTTGTGCGAACACTATTCAGTTTAAGATGATCGCAGAACTGAACCATGGAACAGAAAACCAATGGACTTTGCCAACCATTGTTCACAAGACTGAAAGTACAAAACAAAACATGTTTTTTTCTGTATTCAGTGATGATGGCTTATAGGTTAAACATTGAGTACAAAATGTTTTTTTATTGCAGAAAATACTTCTGATGCTTAAGGCAGCTGTAATGAATTTAAAAAACAGGGTTTTGAAGATTCAGTTAATTTTTTCAGCTCAAAGCTCTAAAAATTCAGACTTCTGAGTCCAAATAAAACACACTGTAATCTGTGATTCTTTAAATTGGTAATTCAGAAAGCTTTTTACTGCAGGTAAGACACTATCTACTGATAACTCCACATAACTCCACTTTAAAAAAAAAAACAACCTCCAGACAATCCTTTTAAGGGTTTCACTGCAGAAAGCCCACAGTATGGCTACTTGCATATTTCAGAGTGAGGTATTTCTGCACTTCTTTCCATCACACTGCAGAGTTTTACAAGTGCCAAGAAAAGATTTGGAGGGCTCATTTCTTATCTTCTGTCTGAATAATAATAATAATAATAATAAACTTTCTTGCATATTATAAAGCCAAAAACACTGAAAAAAGAAGTCATGTCCACCCACAAGTTTCTGTTCCATCATTAGTATTTCTTCATCTGAAAGTGGCTCTTTCGCCTGTCATAAATATGTTTAAGTGCACCTCAATCAAGCACAGGTTCGACGATGAGAAATAAAGAAACTGGAGTGTTACTGCAGGAGCGCCAGAGGAGAGACCTGACACGTCTGACTCAAGGAGGTTCAGACTCGTCTCACTACGGTTCAGTAAAAACAAAAAATACAGTTAATAAAAACACGGATGAAAAAGATGGATGGGTGTATGCCCTTGTTAACCACACAGACTTGTTTAGTTGTAAAAGGCACAGCGTAAAAAGCACAGAGTTGCATTTATCACATGTAGGAGTAAGGCACAAGTAAAAAGACTCAAACTGGAGTGTGTGCAGGATTGAAGCTGAGGGATACAGGAGCTGTTCAAGTGATGGAGAGCTCCAGTTTGTATAGAAATACATCTCAATTTTCTCTCTATATTTGTTCACCTTAAAAGAGTCAAACTATTTAACAATGACAACAAAAAATATACACAACCTAGAAAAAAAATAATATTCAGTCTCAAGTCCCCAATCAATAACTTCTAAAGATGGGAAACATCGGTGTGTATTCAAAGGCTTGTTGGTTAAAATGCTTTCCAGTTTGTTTTCTCTTCTTRTTTTTTCTTTTTGCCCAGAATCGGTCACAATAAGCTGTCAATGTAAAGATGTTTGTTTCTGAATAGACGGGACAAAAAAGGCAAAAAAAACAAAACCAGGATACACGATATTCACAACTAAAACCTTCATTTAAAAACAACCAAAACACACAAAATAAAACCTAAGAGAAATAAAAGTACCAAACAAAGCAAACATACTCAACCAGCACAGACTGACAGCACCTAAACTATAGCAACAATACCACGTATGAATAATTCAAAAAAGAAGAAAAAAAAAAAACAAGTTTGTCTAAAGACAGTGGTGTCCTCTTATCAGTAGTTGCTGCTAATTTCTTCATTTAAAGTACTTCTCTTTTTTAGATTTTACACTAGATAATGTAAAGGTTCAGAGAACTAATATCACCATAAAATAACATAAAAAGAATAAAGCCTTACTTATGGGTTTGGTCTTCATAAATACTTAAAAGTACCATAAATGTTTCTGTTGCTAGAGCAACAAATTGGTAGGGGTGTGTTTTGARGCTGTCTAGCTGAACAGGTCTGAGAGCGACTGGGAGAAGACGTCGCGTTAGTTTTTGTCTGTGGGCTTAATGTTGGCTAGGATTTCATGTGGAGCTCAAGTGTAAGGAGATGCTTCAGACGCTGGCGAGGTTCAGTCAGCYGGCGACTCGCCTCGAGGCCTCTGAATCAGTACGTCTGGTAGATGTCGTGGAGAGGCAGCTGGAAGGTGGCGGCAGGGAAGGCCTGTGGCACAGCGTAGCCGGCGTAGCCTCCGTACGCCGCGGCCACCGCTGCGTTTTTCTGCAGCGCGGCCAGAGCGGCTGTGTTGGCAGTGTAGTTGGCGATGGGGACGTAGCCAGCTCCGTAAAGGCTGCTGGCTGCTGGGAGGCGCTGAACGCTGTGGGCCATGGCGTAGACGGGAGTGATCGGACGACCCTAGGTCACGATGAGGAAAAGGGGGGGGGG